ACTTTAATGACGACAACAAGGCCTTTACTACTCTTCGGTTGGTATGTGCAGTAATTTTTGCTGCTGTCATCGAAATGTTTGGTTATGACCCTAAAATTGTTTTCGGTGTAGATTTGGATTTTGGTTTCGTGTATATTGCCTCTAGTAATAAGAACAATATGAAACGTGTTATTTCCAATCAGTCATGCAAGAAGGGTAACTAGGTTATTTGAACTACGTTCAGTCAGGTAGATTGGAGGGGGTTCAAACTTTTTAGTAGTAGGCTGATCAGCTTCCTCTGTAGTTTCAGCTAGTTTAGCAAATCTATTGCCGAAAAATATGCTTGTGGGTGCACTATCTTTTTCAGTTTTATTTATATTAGCACCTTTTGAGTTGTCTTTTTGAAAACTAAGTTTCCGACTTATATTGACATAGCGTTCCATGCCTGTTTGGACTTTCATTTTATTTTTGGGACTGACTGTATTGGGAATTGCAAGCAATGCTGCTGAAGATACAATGTTTGGTAAGATTTTATCGGATGGTACTGTAACGACACGGATTTTCCCAGTTCGTTATAATTTATGCTGGGGTATCCTCAGTCTTTTCCAGCGGGCCGCTACAATAAATTTAGAATCGCGGAGACAGGACTTCGCAAAATGAAAGTAAGGCGGTTAAATTTTCAATGCAGATTTATTTAAAATATTAGTAATTCATTAAAATAATATGTAATAAAGAAAAGAATTCAATTAAACGTAACTAGATAAACCTTGAGATTAACAATTTGTACAATTACCAAAGATTTATATAAGATGGCTTTATGTAGATTATTATTCCTTCAATCGTATTTCAATAACTTGAGATTTTAAACGCATGCAAATTTTGAATGTATTTCCTTAGTCGTATTTCAAAGAGGTTGGTTAAATTTAATTAGATATGACTTGAGATGTTTCCTTGTGACCAGCTGTATTTGGAAGCTGTCCCTGTAGAGTTCACAGTGGTGGCTGATCCGGTTTCGTGGTTGTACCTTAGTATAATTTCGGTGATTATCCTGCTCGATGAGTACCTACTGGACGAAACGGGGTTAGTGAATGTATATATGTCTTGTTATATTGAATATATATATAAAGTGTCTCCGCGCCTGGACTTAAAACCGCCCATGCACTCGCAAACAATTATATATATATTTTAATAGATTATACACCTAGGCTTAAAACTGCCAATGTGTCAGACAATTTTTAATATTTATTTATTTTATATGTTGACATACAATGCCACTGAGTGATCATACAAGACACACTAAATTCTTAGAAAATTGCGCCGTCTTTTATACGCATCCTCTTGAACTTTTTGTGTAAAGTACACTTGTTTATCCATGATAACGGAGAAAAATAGTGAAACAAGGAGGACCAAATATTTAAAATTTTTGACAGCTCTAGCTTTTCAGAAGGCAATACTAGATCGTCAATAAATTCGTTTGTATAATTTTTAAACTTCTATTATATATTTTTAGCAAAAGTGAAACACACGGTCCGATGTATTTTTAACAAGTTCTTTACTTCGCTTTATTAACTATACTAAAAATGAATAATGAACAACAATAAGAAAAGGAATATAGAATAATGACAGGCCAGAGTTGCCAGGCAATTAATATTTAAAAAAGTACTTTACATAACAACAACTTCAAACATCACTAGTTAATGCTAAATGAGCAATATTGAACACTGTTTTGATTGTGCTTTGTATTTGTTCATGCATTGGATTTTTTAATTAACATAATAATACAGAAATTATGAATTCCTTAATAAGTTATTTTAGAATGATTTCTTCACAAATTTTATTAATTAAATTTCTTTTTAAAATATTTAAATTTACTTATTAAATCTCACAACAGTTATAAATAATAATCGAACTCCTCAATTATAAATCCTTAATTATGAATAAAATATTCCACTTTTTTTCAAAAATCATTCATAATAAATTAGTTTGAAAATTTACCATTGTAATGGGAGTGGCTTATTTGTTAAACAGTTTCAGGAAAGTGGACTTATTTTTGTGAATTTTTTTCTGCAATTGCTAAAATGTTTGGCCACTTCACAACTAGGTGCTTACATAGAAAAAGTAGTGTTGTTTTGCGTACAAATTAGCTATTTTAAATGAGCAACTTATTGTTTTTTGCCACTCTTAAAAACTGCCGATTGCCGGTTGCACCTATTGTAACAAATAAAATATGATAAATACATATGTATATATATAAAGTATTGCATAAAAACTGAAGTGAATTGACTGAAAACTATTTTCACAAAAATTATTACTTTTCTTTGCTAGATCATATAATCATATAAATGCAGTTGATTCAAAATAATTTTTTTACATTCAATAAACTCTAAACTCATTAATGCTTATCCAATATAAATTTTATATTATATCAATATAAATATAATACGGTCGATATTAAAAGTTCTATGAAAGTGATACAAAACAGACCAATTGTTTTTGAAGTTACAACAAAAAAACAAAAACATAATAACGAGTTATATTTTCTTCCAAATATTTTGAGAATATTTAACATTATTTCGAAAAGAGTTTTGAAATAATATCTAATACCGTTTTGATGCGAAATTTATAACACAGGCCGAAGCTACTACAAAATTTTTATTTTATACGGCAGCCCTGAAGTGATGAATGATACTAGAGAAAATCTTTTATAGAATGAAAACTTCGCCCACGATCAAAACTAAAAGAAATTTCTTAAGAAAATTCATTTTTTATAACATTTTTGTCACACGTTAAATAGGTGTGATTACACCACACTTAGCCCATGCTCTTTCAGGGCTGCAGTATAACTTTTTTTCAACTTCTTACTGTACAAGTTTTGATTTAAGCAGATTTATAAATACTCATAAATGAATATAAGCATACATTACATACAATTTAAATACAGTGGTCGTCCAGTATAACGAACGCTCGATATTACGAATTTTCGATATAACGAACACCCAAAATATTTACATTGATTGTTCTATATAACGAACGAAAAAAAAATTCTGCTCCATATTACGAACAAAAAATTTTTTGTTTCTTATTCGTTTTTGTTTTATACAAATTATGCTTTTGAATATAATTTTACTATAAAACTAGCATTATTCAGCTTAGAATATGCATGTAATTGTCCGTTTTTTTTTTTCTGAGAAAAATGCCTATATATGGCAAAATGCATATATGCAGGCGCCACTGATCTGTTGTTCACAAATTCAGTTTATCATATACGAAATACTATCCAGACATACATATGTACATATTAAGGTGTTTATATTTAATATGTATTTGTTTGAAAATATCATTTAAAAATTAATTTTGACAAAGCCGGAAGTTTAAATCGTTGTGAATTAAATTTTAGTTTTTAAAAAGCTGTTCAGAAAAGTCTTGAGTGTAGTAAAAAACAAACAAAAATTAATGATTTTTTTTACTCTACACTATGATTGAATGCGTCCTTTCTTATAAATAATTTTGTAACAACCGAATAAAAAATACTTTCAAATAAATATATACTCGTACGTGTTTATAAGTTAATTTATGAACTCAAATATATGAAATCTCCTAAAAATAACCATATTGGTAGGTAAATGTATAACATTCGATATTACGAATTTTTCGATATAACGAACAAGGGGTGCAACATAAAATTCGTTATATTGGACGTCCACTGTATTATTAAATTAAATGTATTTATTTACATTAACGTATATGTATGCAAAAAAAAAATTTTTTTTGATTGTAACTGAGTATGTTACACAATTATTTATACACTTTTCTTAGCTAGTTATACAGTTTTCATGTGCGGAAAATAGTTCAGAAGGGTTTCATATAATATGTTGAAAGCAATTAAAATCTATTTTAGCTTGAAATTGAAAATATATGTTTTGAAATTAAATTCAATATAATATCATGTTAATAATGTTTTCCATGTAAATAGCTTATTAAAGCTATTTAGGTCCGTATTCGGAACGAATATGGACCTTAACTTGCTCAAGTTGGAAATAATCGTACATTTTGAGATGGTATTAGTACAATTTCTGAGAGTGTGTCTGTTATTTTGTGTTGTGCTCATATAAGTTTCCGTTCTATATAAAAACTATTTTAAATGATACATTAAACTGTTTTGTGCAGGCTCATTTTTTATATTTAGTGCTGATTTAGTGCTTACCGTAAGAAATTAAGTGACGGAGAAATGCATAACAAACCATACCTGTGTATTTGATAGGAATGAAATAAAAACAAATGCGAACTTTGAAACAAAATAAAAAAATCAAATTCAATTAGGTTTTCAACTTTAGCGAATTTTAAAATTGATGCTCAGTTGCTCGTGTAACGTTTTTGAGGATGGGTGCGTAGCAGTAATGCGCGCATTTTATTTCGCATTCTATTCATATGCAATATGTTCAGAAACATATTGGCAATCCGCACGAAGACTGAAATTAAGGGACATTTCAAATGCAACTATGCGTAAGAAAAATTTTAAGCAAAAGATAAAGTTAAGACAACGAAAAAGGGAAATTCTTTTTAAATAAATGCCAATGACAGTTGATTTTAATAAAATCGGGAAATATTTTCAAAATAGAAGTGCAAATTTTTCAATTTGAACACAGAGACAAAACTGTAACTGGATTTTTTTTGAAATCTAGTGAAAAATAATAATTCACATACCTGAAATCCACTAAAACTCATAAATCTACTGAATGCCATCTTTTATAGTTATAATAATCAACTTTTAAAATTTCCCAGTTACGAATGGTGGAGCATATAATATATAGCATTCGATTTGTAAACATAAAATATATGGTTTCCTTAATTTGGGACGGTTTGAACACTTTCGAAATTAACTTAAATGAATTTTTACGATATTAAGGAAATTTGGTTGTCTGAACATAGTATAAGATTTTTGCGAAATTAGGGTGCGTCTGATCACAGAGTTATTCAGAACAATTAAGCATCGACGCAAATGGACAGAGTCTCCAACTTCTGTGTGTATTCTATGTATGTAAATTTAGAAATGTCAAAATACAGCTGGTGGTTACACGTGCCATTTCGAAATCATAACATTTTATTATCTATTTACCGTGTATTTATTTTTTAAATTAAATAGAAATGAGTAATTTTAAGCCGTTATTTACAAAGAAATATGACAGAACAAGTAATGTTGACACTCCAGACTCTTTATATTGGAAACGATTGGGGGTAAATAATGGCATATTTAAGGTTTAAATTATCCAAATTAAGTTTGTTAGTTTTAGGTACCAACATTGGTAAAGGAGTTTGGTGCTATTGATTATATCGACTTTCGACCTAATGAGCCACATTTTTTTGCTGTAACTTGTTCAGTTCGAGTTCAAATTTACAATCCGTTTACTAAATTAGTAGTAAGAAATTTATCGCGTTTTCAAGAGAACGCTTACGGCGGAACTTTTCGACAGGATGGTCGGTTACTAGCAGCTGGTGATCAGGAAGGTCATGTGAAACTTTTTGACCCATCTAGTAAAAATGTACTGCGTTTGTTTAAAGCCCATACAGCTCCAGTACATCGAGTTAATTTTACATCGGATTTGCTAAATATTATCAGTTGTTCTGATGATAAAACAGTACGACAATGGGATATCGGAGCTGAAAAGCTTATTCATACATTTACAGAACACGAAGATTATGTACGTGCTGGAGCGGTAAACCCTATGTCGCCTGATATTTTCATATCAGGTGGTTACGATGGTAAAGTAAAAATGTATGATGCACGTTCGAAATACATTTCTCTCGAAGTTGACCACGGCAGTCCAGTTGAATCATTGTTATTTATTCCAACTGGGAGCATATTTATAAGCGCTGGAAGCACTGAAGTTCGGGTCTGGGATGCACTATCAGGTTTTAAATTTCAAATATGATTTTAATATTTAAATCATTTAAATATAATTACAGGCGGACGACTTCTTTCTGTACTTTCTCAGCATCACAAAACAGTGACATGTTTGCGTTTAGGATCTAATGGTAAACGCGTACTATCTGGTGGTTTAGACAAACACGTCAAAATTTATGATGTAGGAACATATGAAACAGTACATACAATAGATTTTCCCAATGCTGTGCTTAGTTTAGGAGTTGCACCTAATGATCAATCTATTGTCACAGGAATGGTTGATGGAATGGTTTCAATACAGAATATGGACACACCGACGTCTGAAAATATACATTCTACTGTTAGAAGCCATAAACAAAAAATGAACAGCAAAAAAGGAGACCACGAAATTGCACAATACACTCGACCAGTATTGCTTAGCTATGATAATTTTTTACGTAAATATGAGTACGGAAATTGCTTAGATGCAGTGTTAAAAAAAAGTATTGTAAATAAAACTCCTGAAGTTACGGTGAGTATTATGCAAGAGCTCATACATCGTAAAGGACTGGAAAGGGCATTAGCAGGACGAACACATTCGTCGTTGTATAAAATTCTACGCTTTTTATGTCGATATATTGGGGAACATCGTTTTAGCCGTGTGCTTATTGATGTCAGCAATATTCTCTTAGATGCTTACGCTGAATCTTACCACGGGTTCACTGATGATCTTTGTAAGCAATTCAATCATTTAGCTAATATAGTTCAAGCGGAAGTTGATTTGACCTATGAAATGCTAGAATTTCAAGGAGCACTTGAAATGCTTGTATTAGCATCCAGTGTTGAAAAAAGTAGTGAAAACATTCATTTTGTGACAGACTCGAAATTGAGTATATTACAATCAGTAAAAGCGAAGGAAGCTTCTATTTTAAATGTTTGACATAGTACTCACAACATCTCTAACATATTCACTATAATTTACAAATGGTTATATGTTTGCACTCTTTTAAGTATGTATATGTAGACAATGTTAGAAATTTCTTCTTTAAGTAATTTGTGGATTAACTCAAATTAAGTAGTAATAATAAGTATATTGCTTATACACAGGTGGCATTCGGAAACCATTTTTATTGCAAAAAGTAAAAATAAAAAATAACGTAATTTTCTTTCAGTTTATTAACTTAAAATTATACACATACTGTTATATGAATGTAATGCGTATATATGTTTTATATTTTGATATATTGTAATAAAATAAATATCGAATAATATTTATTCACATTTAAATTTTTGTTGATTATATAATATATAGGTCACTACTGACCAAAGAAAATACAAGGTTTTTTTATACAATTTGAATGAGTGATGAAATATATTTTACATGCTAAATAAATACACATTATTCAATGGCATCAATATACAAACCATAGAACATAATGCAATCGGGATATTAATCATCTATACATATACTTAAGTTAAATTACGAACTTTTAAATGAATTTCGAGTTCAGAACCAATACATTTTATCAGTTGTATTTCAGATTCCTGCATCAAAACATATTAGAACAATTATAAACTCTACTATTATAAATATAAACAGTGGATTTATATTTAAATTTTTATGCTAGATTTAATTTTATTTTTATCCCAATTAACTTATTTTGAAAAAGAGTAAACCTGTGGTTATGGTAACCACCCTCACCTTTATTACTTGGTTATACTTTTAAATTAATAAAAATTACGGTTTTCAAAATTAATATTTTATTTTTATGAAATCAAAAACTTATATAAATTTTGTTTATTATTAATTTGGCAATATAATATTTTTAAAACTGCATATTCTTACAATTATCATTTAAGTTAACCTTATGTATATATGGATATAAATAAAAATTATAATTTTATTTAGGAATTCTAAAAGTAAAATATTTCGATAATTTTTTTGAAGAATTTGAACAGATCAAAATGAAATGTGCATTCTTAAAAACAAACAAATTATCAGTATACTGTCTAAAATTGAATTTTTTATTTAATTTTAAATGTTAAAGAAAACGCAGAGTAAGTTCTTTATTTTTTAGTTTGCAATTTTATATAAATTTAGGAAAACATAATAAATACTTTTTTATATTTTTTTCACAGTTAAATGAGGTTCAAATTTAATATAATATTCAAGTATTCAAACAATATTTATTGAATGTATATAAAACATAGGTGTGACATAAATAATTATTGCATTTTTAATATATATAGTTTAGGATTTTGTTTAATTATACAAATGTATCGAAATAAAATCAATTATTATTATATACAAACAATCCTATTAAAATATAGAAAATAAGAAGTAAAAGGTGATGACATTAAAATTTATTAAACACGGTTTCCTGAAGAAATTTAAGGACTGATTTTATTTTGATGAATCTTATTAAATGTTTTATTTCTGTATGCAGACGTGCTAAATTATTAATTACTTAAGAAAATTTAAATAAGATAAATACTTTTACATAAAACGTACGAAGATAGTAATTTTTTTATGCTTTAACCATCCTCTTTTGGTGGCGTAAACCAACCTGAAAAAAATGTTGTTTTTCAATTTATTGATTTTAATTAAAATTTATTTTTGAAGACTTAAATTCTTACCATTTTTTTCATGTATTTGAACAAGCGATTTAAAACTTTGTTGAGCACGCGCTAAGCTATACTGCCCTTGCGATAATGCCTAAGTTAGACAAAAAAAATACGTTATAAAAAAAAATTAATTAAAACGAAAAATAAACCTTTGTAGGTCCAAACTGAATTCTTGCTTTTCCTTTAACTAAAGTAGCCGCAATTTGCATTATTACGGCTTCTACCGTATAAGCAGAACTCCAACCTTGTTTTGTTAGTAATTCCATGCATATAGCACCACCAAGTAGAACATAGCCACCTAAATCAGCAGTACAAAGTTATTGTAAATTGTCGAAACAATATATTAACTGCTTATTTATACGAACCTGATATAATAGGATGAACAACGCGAACAAATGGAGGCTCAAATGGATAGGTTTCTTTAAACATTATATTTAATAATATGCTATCCTTTCCTTCTTTTTCCTTGAGCATTATTAAATCGTTGTGGAGCGGACTATCAGGATCAACTGATTTTAGACGTATGTTCCATTCATAAATAGAATCATTTACGAGCTCTATTGAGTACATGTTACTTTTAAACGAATCCGAACGGTATATATCACGAAGTTCTTTCATTAAACGATCTGTTGCCTGTACGGATCCAGAAACTGAACCCTGAAAGAAATGTTAATTTGTATTTTATCCATTGTGTGGTATTTTCATTTCAACCTTTAAATAATCTTGTCGTTGACTTTGGCGCAGTCTTTCTAATGTGGCTAGGTGTTCGACCTCCATTTCATCTTTCTAAAAAATTATAATTTATAAATAAACAAAAATTCTAATAAAATTATATATAAATTACTACCTTATTTGTGTTGCGACCATCATCCATTTCTAGTTGTATATCTTCATCGCCTTCACTTTCTTGTTCACTTTCACAAATCGGATCCTCTACATCTTCTTGATCTGATTCTATATCATCAATTGGTGCCGGAGAATGATGGGCAATTGATGGCGCATTTGGAGGAGGTAATTGAAAAGGTATTGTAAGGTTGTCCATATCTGGTGGCAGTGGAACATTGTGCAGGCGGCATAGTTCACGTAATAAAATGCCAACCTTAAAATTTTATTTATTAAAGATATTTTTTATTTGTAATTATTATATTTATTATAACAGTAATTTCAGTATTTACCTGATTTATTACATGATTATCACGTCCATTTGTATTGCTAAGAATTTGTACGGCGTTTGTTACGCTAGTTTCTTCACTTTCAGCAAACCAGACAGGCGGTGAAGATGGATACGTTTCCTATATTAATAACACAATAAATTCGATTAATAAGATCAGAATACTTTCACTTAATTAGAGTGGATTAAACATATATGAGATATTAGAATTTTCGAAAAGTAAGTTTGTTATTTTTAATAGAGGACTTGAAAGTTTTTTTTTGTACCCATTTTAAAACTGAAAATGCATATAAAATATATAATATAATATAAAACGGTTTACTTACTAGCTAAAAGTTTTTATTTTGCGGAAAAGCTATTGTTTAATGGTTTTTCAAATAGGAATACAAAAAGAGTAGCTTTTTCGGCATTTTTACTTTTTCACTAATAAAAAAAATTATTAATTGTGTATTATTAGTGAATCACCACTCTTGATAAAATTTGTTGAAAGAACGTACTGATCACGCCGAGCAATATCATTGTTTAACTACAAAATAGGCTATATTGTATTAATCGTTTAAGAGATCAATAGATAAGTTGACCTGTTTCACCAAAATAATGTGAAACTCATACAATTTTGATATAACTATAAGAAAACCGGTATTTGTTTTCACTAAAAAAGAACTTATTTACTTTCCAAGCAACCCAAACGAAGTTGATATGAACCGTCGTAAAATAAAGCACTTAATTCAAGAAAGTTATTTTAAATATATTGGTTAAGAAATATGATAACACCGAATTGTACAAAAACCATTTTCTTTGAAACAAAAAAATGAATTAATCTAAACCTTCTTGGTTCGAAGGTGTAATTAAAATAAATGGTATATGGTTTAGCCATTTTTTCAACTCAAATATTTTAACGCTGAACACTAGTTCAACCAGCCGCAATTTCCACTTGTGAAGATGTGACTTCATAAACATTATTTTTGGTGTTTTTCGTATTGCTTGGTCTCTACTCGCAGAACGATTGTCATAAAGTACAATACTTTTAAATCAGGATATTGAAGTACGTGCTTTGCCCGATTATTTCTTGATATCTTGTTAGGATTATCAAATAACTGTAGAATTAATTCAACATTTGTTTCCTTTGTTTTCATATCATTATTTTATGCAATAGTACCAGATTTTTCGACATTATCGCTTCATTAAAAAAGTGAAGCCAAAGAAAACATAAAATAAAAACAAACATAAACGACATTGTAGAGATATCCGCAATTTTAGCCCACTGAAACATGTGGTCCAATTGTACCCATCCAATCGTAAAATTTGCACATCTAGCAATCAGTTGTAAAGACTCTTATTTGAAATTATTTACTTCAGAAGCAATTTTACTGTATTTTTTATTACAGCTTTTATTTAAGAAACATTGAGATTATGTTTACCATTAATATGATGTTTTGATATTTAATTGTACTTAGGGAGCGTGTATTCCACAGTATTCCCACGGATCTCCAATCCACTATCCAACTATGGACGCTGGCTTCTGCATTTCTAACAATTGGACTACAGAGAAAGTCGTCAGTGACTTGAATTTAATAGTCCCTTGGGCATAAGATGATCAAACACGTTTGTATGATTAAATAAGTCTCCGCGGCAACTGTATTCTATGTACAGTAGAACTTCTATATACAAAACTTATCCAGTTAGTTACAACTCTCCATGCGTTTCACCTTGAAGCAATTAGCCTCTTAATTCAAAATATTAACTTTTTATAATTTGTTATAAGTTCTCAATAATCTTTATCTCTACAATTTAAAGTTTTGCAAATCCGACGTCAACAAATCAAGTTTCTGTCTAAAATGTCACGAATTTTATATGTATTCGGAAAATAGCCAATTTCTTTGTAATGCACAAAGCTTCAAATTTTTATTAAAGGTTGAGTTTCACGATGTTGATACAGCTTTTAAAGATTTTGTGGAAGAGACAGTCGTTGTAGCCAAATAATTAGAATATGCAGATATTACTTAAACCGACCATCAAAATATTTTATGTATGCATAACAAGTATCATCAGAAACATTTATATATGAACCCCAAGTATCGATTATTGACCCTATAATAATTGTTTAGGAATATTTCAAACTTAGAATTTCAAAACAATACATATTGATTATCCCTCATATTAAATAATAAAAATATTCCCGTTTATTGAACCTAGTAGAGTTGTTATTTATTTCCTTAGTGAATATAGGTACTGCACTACATATCTAATAAAAATCGAAGATATTTTTACATTCCGAATCTCAACAAGCAATTTTCAGATGTATCTGAATCTATCTATAGATTTATAAATTTGAATGCTTCTTAGTCCAATTTCATTATCAATCCCAAATTTAAATAAGCATTTATGGTTTTTAATTGTTCATTTATCATATGAAAATAAGTATTGAAACTTGATTAGTATTTGATTTTACTTACCGTTATATTTGCGTGAATGTCATATCGTTTTCCATTTCTCCCAATAAACCGACAGGTCAGTTCGTCCACACTCGAGTTAAGAATTTGGAAGCGCTCATGACTTTTAGTAAATATTTTTTCCAGAGTTTTTATTTCTAACTTTAAAGTGTTTAAACATGCCATTTCGTGACAAAATAAAGTGGGTTCTTGTGTGGGCAGTTAGACTCGGTAGCACAATCCAAGGCTATTTTTCATAAATGTTCTGCTTCACGATTTATTTTATTGCGAATTGAAGCCAATATTTTGAGTTCACTAAATTAATTTAGAGACGGTTGGCTCGTTGAGATTCGGTGTTTAGAACACTGAACTCGCCGTCTAAATTTATTTATGTGTCAACTCACTTTTAACTATAAAATCGGAATAACTACTGCACTGAAATGATTAAATCAATCATAAAATTGTTAACATTTAAATGGTTTCATTTGTTATTTCTAAATTAACACAATTTTTTTTTATTTACTACACAAAATGCACGACGCATGAAACAAAACAGATACAAAGTTATAGAGAACCCGATTTGATAAGCAGTTTAAATATTTACAAAATCTCATTCAAAGATTCCTAGCAATTTCTTAATTAACATAACAAATTTCATTTCTCTTACAATTATTTGTACGCATTTTATGCAAAAAACTTGAGTAAAGGACTTGGGACAAACCAAAATCACTTTCCCCAACAGTACGAAAACTGAAATCAAAACCACAATACTCAAGAATGTGGAATAAGGTAGGAACCAGAAAGGTATTACCATACATATATACACACATCTGCAAAAGTCTTTTTTTTAGTTGAGAAATTTCAATAAATAACTCTAGAACGACAAAAATAATAACGAAATTCTGATATTTTGCAAAAAAATCCGTACAACAATATGAGAAGTGAATGAAAAAAACATCTGTCTTTGTTATATGCTCAAAATTGATCAGCATTTAATGCAAACCTTTTGTTATTGGATTATATTGTACCTGGCAGCTTCGTTCTGCTTCTAGCTTTTGCAACAAAAATCGCTTTCTATCTCTTTTTAATTCACATATTGCACAAATAAAAATTTTATGTAAAAAAGTGACACGAACTGAAATAATTTTGTTACCTATTTATTCAGATTTAACATTTTTCACTATTGAGCATTCTTAAAATTTCATTGATTTAATTATAAGTTTTTTACTAAGCATTTGAAAACTGTATAATATTTCGTAGTCGCGTTAGCAACTTCTAACACTTTCTTTTTAAGTTTGCTTTTAAGCAAATTTATTTAGGAGTAAAACAGGGTTGTGAACTGAAATTTTATAGCACATTCACATAGTGTCATTTAGGCGGTTTTGTTCATTATAGCCACTAATAAGGATGATATACCTTACCATACAAAGTGTGTTCATATAAATAAGCTCATTTATAAAAAATAAATAATATGTGAATAAATAAATTTTCCACAAGGGAAATGATCAATTTTGAAAATATGTGTCATATGTTTTATTTATAAAATGTAAACAAAAAACAGCTGAGCTATGAACAAAGCCACTGAGGAAGGCAGTATTTAATAAAATCTTTGTTTTTATTTGATAAATATATAAAAGATATATATATAATATATGTATATATATAAATATATGTTTTAATATTTCAAATATATATTTATTTTTTTGTGACATATATTGAAGTACAGTTTAATTATTTTAGATGAGTAGCACCGAGAATTCAAAAATCCGATAGCAAAAAGAAATATGTACAAGTATTTAATAAAGTTATATTTCAGTAACTAAATATACAATAAATATTTAAAAAATTTTTCGTGATTTATACTATGTTTAGACTGCCAAATTTCCTTTATTTCGTTTAAATGAAATTAATTTAATTTGAAAAGTGTTCGTACTGTCCAAAGTTAAAGAATCGCATTTTTGTTTACAAATTGAATGTTAAAAATTACATGCTCAAAACATCATTTGTATCAGTGAAATTTTAAAAATTGATTATTATAACTATAAGGGATAGCATTCAGTAGTTTTATTACCTTTGGTAAATTTCAGGTATGTGGATTATTATTCACAAACAAAATCTTTAATGAAACCATATTCATATAATATTGATATGATGAAAATAATTTAATCTTATTCAATCTAATATGGCGTTCACATTAACCGAAAATGACTTATTTCAAATGAGCCATTCAAAAGTGTTTACATTCGTTGTAATTCATTTGTTCTCATTTGAAACAGGTGATTTTTTAACTTGCCTGTTGATTTGATTTTTGGCCTGTGCCAAAAGAATGTTACATGAAGGTTAAATACAATAAACCTTACAATATAAACTGAAAACATATTTTTAACTTCGTTAAATACTTTTTGGGAAGATGAAGTTCTAAAAAGAGGTGCATCGTTTTTAAGGAAGTGCAACCACCAAACATTTGTTCACCTTTTTTTGTAAATATGTCATAAACAGCTTCCTCAAACTGTCAAAATGGCATGAAAAGCTTTTATTTAGGGTATGTTCAATGTATTCATTTGCATTTGGAACATACTTGGAACACATTCGACCTAAGTTGGAACGCATTCATACAGAATGTGATCCAATGGATCTCATTCGCGCTTGAAATTTTGCATGCAAGAATAAGCCATTTCAGGTCAGTGTAAATGCCGTATAATTTAGTAAAGTTAGATGTTTTTTAAAGTAAATATCACTTTTTCGTTGTCTTAACTGAACTTTTGTGTAACAGTAAAAAAGCAACTCTGAGTAATATTGAGCTGAATGCAGCCCCGCGAGGCAGCATGAAAGGTGAATGACAGTTGATACGAAGCAGGGGAGACAGAAAAACGGAATTGACACACAAATGTGAAACCCTCACGTTGTGCGTAAAATAATATAAAATAAATGAATAACGAAGTGATTGTAACGAATATAATAAAATTATTTGCCAATAAAATATTTTCGGTATTTACATAACCGATTACATTTTGCTTAAAATTTATCTTTCGTATAGTTGCATTTGAAATTTCCCTTCATTTTAGGTTTCATTTCAACGAAATTAACCCGAAATAATCCACGTTTACCATATGGTAATGCAAATTAAGAAGTTACATACACATGAATAACATATACATTATACTCAAACATATACATACCCACAGATATGATTAATGCGTTATTTTATCGCAAGTCAAAGTGAAGGGCAAAAAAAAAATTGAAAAAATTGTATTTTCGATATGGTATGTCGGTAAGTGTACCTAATAGTAATCATGGGTCGTTAGGGCATGTGTTTTTGATGAAAAAAACTACGATTTTATTTTATTGCCTTTGTATTTTTTTTGTTTTTATGGAATTTTTTTCATGAACATTACATTATCCAGTTAACATTTTATATATTATTTTATTTTATAATGGTCTATCTTTGCAAAAAACACTTTATTATATTGGTCAGGTAACAGAAGATGACGGTCGCTATATACTCCTGCAAGCTATATGGTGAACTTTGAAATTTATCAAAGAAAGAATCCTCGTTCGAGAATAAGAAGTTAAATGTGTCGCACCTTCGGTCAGCATGATCGATGAAAGGATAGCCATTTTTATTTTACTTCGATAATCTCTTTACAAGTTATTTTTTGTTGGCGTATCTCAAATCATGTGGTTATAATGGAACATAAACAGTTCGTTAGAACCGCATTGCAGCAAACTGTCCATTGAGACTTAAGAAACACTTAAAATGAAAAGAAAGCGGCTATTCGGAATCTATTACGATGAAGAGCAACGGTATTAGTTTGGTAAAATGGAGAGAAAAATGTTGTTATTCAAAAACAGTTATTCAAAACAGCACAGAGGCAAAATAAATGTACCGCGCCCTTTTGCGATCACAGAATATAACAAATATATGTGTGATGTTTACAGATTTGACTAAAATTTGGTACAATACCGTATTGCTTACAGAGAAAAGAAATGGTGGTCCAGCATATTTACCTGGTTGATAGATGCTTGTTTTCAAAATCCTTGGCAGCTTCATCGAAAAGCGGCAACAAGTATGTCACAACTCGAATTTCGATGACAGCTGGTTACATACTATTGCAAACATTATGGTACAAAATCCAAATCATCTGGTCGGTTACCTACTAACAGATATTCCTAGCAAACGGGTCGAGTTCAACACACTCTCTATTACGAATAGATAGGACACTACGTCGTGCCGTTCAATCGTAAACATTGTGCTCGTGATTATTGCAAAGTTAGCGGACGAACAGCATGTGCAAAATGCTACGTTGGACTTTGTGTCAAATATTTTTTGAGCTATCATACAAAACCATGAACAATTTTGACTCCTAAAACA